ATAGTGAGTAAACATGAAGAAATTTTTATAAAAAATTTATTTATTTATAAAAATAAATATTAATTAACATTTTATACAATAAATATATTTTGTCCTAATATACAAAAGAACTTCACAAAAATAACTGTGTTCATGATAAGTTAAATTTTTCGACTGTATGAATACTTTTGTGCGTTTAAATAATAAATAAGTAATATAATTTTTCATTTTCATTGATTTTTAAGATAACACATTTTAATTATTATATATTCTCTTTTAAATAAATTAATTTTGAGAAATATACAGTCTATTTTATTTTTTGTTAATAAATGTTAAAATATGTTTTCAATATTATTGCTAATTATTGTTTACTTTTTAAAAATATTTTCTTTTTACAATATATTTTTCTTGTATAAATACTTTTCTTGTATAAATACTTTTTGCATTCGCTGCAATAGAAATTTTGAAAAAAGAAATTTATTTATATTTAATGCAAAAAAAATGACACAATTTAAAGAAAATTGAGATAATTTTATCATCTCAAATTCCGTAATGTATTGTGTCCTAATAGGGACAAAATTTCTCAATAAAGAAGAATAGAAAGAGAGCATTAATAGAAAAGAAATCTCTTATAGAGGATGAAAACTTCATTCTTTATAAGGGATTTCTTTTTTGCTAATTTTCTTCTCTCTAATAAAAATTTCATCCTTTATACAATCAACAATTATCATTCTGCGCAATTAATTAAAACCCATGATTAATAATCCAATCATGAAACAAAAAATGACTAATTTCGAAATCGAAATAAATATTATAATATAATAATCGAAATAAATATTTCATGCAATGCAATTTATTTGCTATTTTAAAAAAGAAATGAAATACAATAAAAATTATAGAATTTAATTATATTTTATTTATGATTTTTAATCAAATAATTTAAATATAATAAGTGAAAAATGTGATGCATCTATCTTTATTATTTATTAACAAATATATATTATGTATATGTACTTTGCGGTTATAAGTCTGAAATGTGTTACGCGTGAATTTCGATATTTGTTTCCAGACGATTTATCGCATCTTAATTAGCCGTTAACTCGAATTTATTTGCATCGTATCGGAGTATCAGAGTAGAGATATTATTTTTAAATTTTTCACTTATTAACAGAACACCGAGGATGCGGAACGGATTTGCGCCGAGTCGGGAAGCATCGCGATGCATTTAATTATCAAGTACTAGCATAATTAAATCTGTATTTTAATATCTGTCAGCCGTGTAACATACAATCGGTATTTATCATCAGTAATATGTTAAAACTTCTCATCGTCCTAGATTTTATATTGCTGCACTTTACGAGATATCGAGGGGATTATAGTATTCATACCTTGATGCAATCATATTTTTTCAACATTATTCTGTCACGATGCACATCGCGTGTGAGTAAGGACGGAAATGCCACGTGTGAAGTACCGTGTGATTATCGTCTTCTAATGATTAGTACGTGCGATCATTAACCGTGTTTTCGTGTGTGGCTATTGTGTGAGTGCTATAAATAAAGAGGCAACAAAGGAGAGAGAGAAGAAAAATCTCAGAAAATATCGAGCGATTATGGAGCAATAATAAAGTAAATAATTTAACTTATTATTGGGTTGTTCAAAAAGTCATTGCGTTTTTTCCAATAGATGACGTTGTCCACATTTATTTGTATGCGAGCGTGACATGAATGTCAAATGTTTACGCGCGTTTTGTTGTTGACACTCAACCTAAAAACCAAAAAAAAAGTTGACGCGATTAGGTCGAATTTTGTGCTTGCAATTGTGGTTCGAACATGGAGAATTTTGAAGAGCATATTCTCCATATTCTGTTTTATTACTTCAAAAAAGGGAAGAAAGCAACTGAAGCAAGGGAAAAGTTGCGTCGAGTTTACGGCAGAAATGTCGTCAAAGAACGCCAGTGCCAGAACTGGTTCGCTCGATTCCGTGATGGTGATTTCTCAGTCAAAGACGCTCATCGCTCCGGTATGCCTTCCAAGATTGACGACGATGAAATGAAAGCATTGGTGCAAGCAAATAAGCATTCAACGGTTCGGGAGCTTGTTACCGTTCTAAAAGTGTCCGTTGGAAGTGTTCATGGCCATTTGAAATAGGCTTCGTAAAGAAGCTCGATGTTTGGGTATCGCATGAGTTGAAAGAAATTCATCTGACGAATCGCATGAGCGTCTGCGATCAACTTATCAAACTCGAAGAAAACGATCCGTTCTTGAAGCGTATGATCACGAACGACGAAAAATGAATTGTTTACAATAATGTCAGCCGAAAAAGAAGTTGGAATAGGCGAGGTGAAGCACTGGAAAGGCAAGTAAAGGTGGAGATCCACCAAAAGAAGGTAATGCTGTCAATGTAGTGGGAATTGGAAGGGACCAGTCTTCTATGAGCTACTTCCAAAGAACAAAACGATTAATTCTAATGTCTACTGTGAGCAGCTGCAGAAATTAAGTGATGCCATCGCACAGAAATGTCCCGAGCTAATCAATCGTGTGTCAAGGATGTGGTGTTTCACCACGATAATGCGATATCACACACAAGTTTGGTCACTCGGCAAAAATTGTTGCAACATGGTTGGGATGTGTTATCACATCCACTGTCCAGACCTTGCACCATCAGATTTTCATCTTTTTCGTTCCTTGCAAAACTCCTTGAATGGTAAAACGTTTGCTTCTGAAGACCTCATCAAACAATACCTAGACAAGTTTCTCGCAGAGAAAGATGGAAAGTTTTATGAACGTGATATTATGAAGTTGCCTGAAGTTGGAGATGGCAGAAGGTCATTGAACAAAACGGCCAATATATTATTGATTAATATTACGTATATTAAATAAACATATCTGAAAATCAAATGAAAAAAACGCAATGACTTTTTGACCCCAATACTTTTGTTTTTTGCCTGTGCATGATTAAATTAATTAATTTATATATTTCCATTTATTGAAACAATTTATATAAGATTTAGAAAAAATAATTTTTATGTACGAAGAATTTCTAGGACTGTATATGTGAACATACAACAAGAAAGAAAATAGTAAATTGTTAAGCAATTTAATTTGTGATATTACTACTATAGTTCAATCGATTTACGTTCCAAGACCAAAAAATTAATTCGTGCAATTTAAAAGACTACATAAGTAGTATATAAATTCACAAAATTATTTAAACACTTAAAATCCAACTTATAAATTTCGTATCTATTGCTTTGAAATAAATATACAGATTTGCAAATGTTTTAAGCATAAATTATAGATATTCATTAATATATTACACATGTAATAAACATGTATACAAAGTTCACATGTATACAAAATACATTATTATATCAATATATTATTACTTTAATCATTTATCGGCATTATTTGATAAAGATCTGTTATCTCAAGCAGCAACGGAATTATACAATTCTAATTATATATTATTATTACAAGCATTAATTACAAAACATATAAATCATTTGAAGTAATTGTTGCGTAATTAATCTTGACACGGTGTTATAATCAGCGATCGCTGAAAATTATCGTCTTATCGTAATATTCATATCATCTCATTGATTGTCGATCTAATAAAGGGTTGCTCGTCCTGGTGAGCGAAAAAGAAATAAAAAGGATCAAACGTGGCATCATTTATTTCAGAAGATTGCACCATCGGAATTTCTGATTAAGCATTAATTCGTGGGACGTGTAGATCGCAGATACAAAGCGCAGACGCGCAGCAAGATAAGATAAAAGCACATCGGAATCATCGAGTACCGGTATTTGAGCAGAAGCGATAATTGGCACCTCGACACTCTCGACTACTGCGATTACTATTGTGTGCATATACACACACATAACTGAGAAATTCTTATCAGAGAGTATATCCCCAAGTATATCGAAGTATTTCTATGACAGCGAGAAAGACCAGAAGCGAGTGTTTGACAATATTGGATGCTTTCTACTTAGTGACACAAGTCAATACAAACTTAATTTTATCTTTCTTGATATATTTAATGAGTAACAAAAAAATACATTTGTGTCAATTTAATGCTATTAAATGAAAAACATCCTATAATTCATGAAAAGTATTGGTGTAATCCTGTTTATTCACCACTACTTCAGACTGCGACAAAAAGAAAAAATTCTTGAAAAATATATATTAATATATGGAAATATGTTTCAATAAAAACAAAACTTACAATCGATAAAGTAAAAATACAACGAAAATATTCTTTTTTTATTAATTAATAAATAACTTTTATTAATAAATAATTAAAATTAATAAATATAACTGAAAATAATTATGCATAATCAAAACAAAATAAGTGTATCAGGCTGCTCCTCGTCTTGATGAAATGAACTGTAAAGTTCACCTTGGCATTTCAAGAATGGATCTGGACACGGAAGAAACCCGCGAAACGCATAATCTTTATACAGAAAGGACCCGTGGAGTATTAACCCTCAAGAATATTAACAAAATAAGTTATGTTCACAACTGAC